TATCTTTAATTAAAATTAATTAAAGTGAACGTCTTTAAAACTCACCCATTTGAAGTTCGATTACGTGTTTGGCTCTTTTATGGATTCTTAAGCAAACGTAGCCAATATTACTGAATAAAATAAAGTGAATTTCTTTTTTTAAGCGGGTTTAATATGTATTTTTTTTTGTATAATTTCCTTAATTATTATAATGTAAAAGTCTTAAAATCGTGTTTCTTACTTACCAACCGGATGTAACGTGTACAACCATTTGAGCATTACTATCTGATCGGTAATCATCTCTGATGCATACAACTCTCATGTGCATTCTACCGTTCGATGTGTTTGTCACGTGATAAGATGTGTTCCTGTGACTAAAATCGTAAGTTTGTTTAGCATCGAGGGTCTTCCAATGTCTTCCAGAGGTCACCCATTCCGGAAACTGGCATCTTGCGTGAGGATGATTAGCTACAACATCATCAAAAAAAAAGCCTTAGATGCTAGCTCCAAATCAATTTTTTAATTAATTATTAACAAAACAATTATGTAGGCCTATATTTATTATTAATTAAAAAACTTTTAAAGATTCTCTATTAAATATAAAAGAATTTTTGAAAATTTAATCGCATCTTCTTAAACAGAATTTGAATAAGATAAGACTCATTTTTATTTTTATTTCAGTAGAAATAACTATTATAAATCTTCTTTAAACTCGTCTCTTCTAATAAATTGAACACATTTTCATTTAATAGATCGATCGAAACTGTTTAAATTGAAAAATTTTAATACCATTCTCAAGTTAAAAGCTCTCGTAATTCTTAGAAGCTACTTACTTCTGGTTAGCCTCATAGTTCTCGATCCTTCGCTAGCAGTAAATAATCCATCGCATGTAGCATCACCAGATTGAGATAGGAGATAACCGTGATCTTTTACTTTTTCATACACCTAATGATAAGTTATTAATATTTAAAGATTATAAAAAAATAATTCTACTGTAAATTTATATTAAATGCTCTTCTAGCTTTGATTTACAGCATTAAAGATTATT